CTGAACTTGCCCCAACATCCCTCCCCTGCCGGCCTGATATCGCCCCCAACTGCCCTCCCCTGCCAGCCTGATCACCCCTAACTGCCTCTGCCTCAGCCCCCGCCACCATGGCTTTGTCCGGAAGGAAGTCGGGCATCTGGAACAACTCTATTGCCCTTAAAACGCCCCCTCAGCCCCCACCTTAGGTTCTGCCTTCGCAGCACACCCAGAGTAGGTTCTGATTGGTCCGTTTCTATGTCAGTCAGCATCTAAAGCTCTGTCTCCTATGCAGTCATTGGCTCCTCGCAGTTTACCCAGATTTGGTTCTGATTGGTCAGTTTTTATGCCACTCAGCGTCTCCGGGCCTATCTCCAGACCTGATCAGAGAGCTCAGCCCCCACCTTAGGTTCTGCCTTCGCAGCACACCCAGAGTAGGTTCTGATTGGTCCGTTTCTATGTCAGTCAGCATCTAAAGCTCTGTCTCCTATGCAGTCATTGGCTCCTCGCAGTTTACCCAGATTTGGTTCTGATTGGTCAGTTTTTATGCCACTCAGCGTCTCCGGGCCTATCTCCAGACCTGATCAGAGAGGCAGGGCTGATCAGCAGCTGCCACAGAGGCTATGGATCAGACCCTGGTTCTCTCTCCAGGCCTGATCCGCAGCCCCCTCGGCAGTCAGTGCTGGTCGCCACACCCGCAGCAGCGGCAGTTAGTGCTGGGTTGCCGGCAACTCAGCACTGACTGCAGGACTGATTTCCAGTTGGTCGAGCCTTTGGTCGTTTGGAACATTATGGTTCCTGAATTTTTATATATTAGGATTTAATGTTGTCCCACAACTCTCTTAACCAGTTAACTGCCACATGTCCAAAACAGAAACCATCCCCACATGTCACTATATTTTGAATTTAATTAAAAAATAAATTTGCAATGAATATTATAAAAATAATTATATTACAATTCGTGTGTTCTTGAATATTTTCAGTTGAAAATTCTCATGAAAAATGATTTTAAAGTTGGTCAGGGCTGCAACTTAGAGAAAACATTTTTTAAAAAATTCTTCCAAAGAACATTTTTAATGATTTTTATGTAGTACATACACAGTTGAAAAAAGTATTTACACTTAGTTATTATTAAAATCACCTCAGTTTATGATAAAGTTGGAAACACAGTACAACACATAATGGAACATTATATTGTTTACAAAAGTATTTGGTTTCTTTTCACTGGTTTCTACCAATACTAGTAGAAGAGCATACCAGACACTTTTTCCACGTAGATTTTTCTCCCATTCGGCAGATATTCCCCCCAAAAATGTCGTTCATATAATCTGGATGGCAAGTCAGCGGCATAATGTTTTCTTTCCTCACATTGTGCTAATATACGTTTTTGAATTAATTACCTGATTACCTGTAACTGGAAATCACCGAGTGTAATATTGCTATTTTTTGTGTGGCTATAGATGTGCATGGTGTGTGGGGAAGGTCTGCCATTTGCATCTATTAGACACTTATGGTGTACAAAGGATTAAGCTGTTCTCCTGTTTTTAAATTGCTTTTTTCTTTTTAGTTTTCTAGTTGAGTGATATTATCAACTCTGTTTTCAATTTCAATAATTTCATCCTCAGCTTCCCCTAATCTGTTGTGTATTCCTTCCAATGTGTTCTTTATTTGTGTTGTCATTCTTTATCTCAGACTGTTCTTTTTCATAGTTACTATATCTCTTTTCATGCTGTTGAGCATCTTTACCATTGTTACTCTGAACTCTGTGTCAGATAAATTTCTTATCTCTGCTTCATTTATCTCTTTTGGAGAATTCTCTAGTTCTTTCATTTGGGGGTTGTTTCTTTGCCTCCTCATTTTGGCTTTCTGTTTGGGTTTGTGACTACGTATTATGTAGATGCTCAATACCTCTCAATTTCTAGTGCAGGACAGTGTTAAAGGCTGTTTCTGACTAATTAGATCAGGCAAAGACTCAAAGCCTCAAGAGACTGACTCTGCCTACAGACTGATAGGATTCCCACTTGAATTACCCCCCAGGCAATTGTCCTCAGGTGTGGCAAGAGTTTCTTTCAATATGGTGGGACAGTTTCTTGTGCCTGGAGGCCAATTGTTATTTTAGTCTCTTAAGTAGCCTCAGGGCAAGGTGTTTTCCGATAGGGTGTGCCAACTGTCTTCCCTCAGGCAAGGCAAATGTCTATATGGGAAAGATGTCCTCTGCTGTGTGAGGGAATTACTCAGCCCAGGATACTTTGGGTTTCTGCCTTCTGAGCTCTATCCCTTCAGTCTCCCAGTACTGGCTTCTACTCTCATAGCTCCAGTCCACTTCACTCTCCCTCTGCTGGAGCACAAGGTGGGTGGCTCCACAGGGAATTTTGTGCATTGGCCCTTTAAGAGGGTGCCTAAGATTTCAGCTGTTACTCTCTGGCAGACAGCATCCTGCTGCTTTTCACAGTCAGATGTTATGTGGGTACCCTCCTGTTTTGATGCTCTCTGCTGGGGGCCCAGCTTGGCGATTAGATCCCAGAGTTCTCAGTGGCAACCTCTCACAGCTCAGATATCTATCCAGGACTTCAGTTGCTCCCTGTGGGCACCTGGCCAGCCCTTTCCCACCTCCACCCCTCCTACCAGTCTCTATACCAGCAATTCTCAACCTGTGGGTTGCGACCATCAGAAAACACATATAGCATATCAGATATTTACATTAAGATTCATAACAGTAGCAAAATTACAGTTATGAAGTAGCAATGAAAATAATTTTATGGTTGGGGGTCACCACAACATGAGGAACTGTATTAAAGGGTTGCGGCATTAGGAAGGTTGAGAACCACTGCTCTATACAGTCTCCACTTTTGGTCTTTGGATGTCAGGGTTCTCTCCTGCGAGTTTTCCGTTGATTATTCAGAAAGTTTTCTGTATTTTAGTTGTAATACCAGTTTGTTCCTGAGAGCATGTCCATGCAGTATCCACTTACTCTGCCACCCTTTTTAATCTCCCCTTACATAAGTTGTTGATTTTCTTATGCAGCTTGTTTAAGAACTGTATGACTCCTATTCTGAATTCTTCTTCTGACATATTGCATGCCTCTTTTTCATTTAGTTCATTGGTTCTCAACCTTCCTAATGCTGCGACCCTTTAATACAGTTCCTCATGTTGTGATGACCCTCAATTTCATTGTTACAAATTGAACATAATTAAAGCATACTGATTAATCACAAAAATATATGTAAAATATCTGATATACAGGATGTATTTTCATTGTTACAAATTGAACATAATTAAAGCATAGTGATTAATCATAAAAAAATATGTAATTATATATGTGTTTTCTGATGGTCTTAGGCGATCCCTGTGAAAGGGTCGCTTGACCCCCAAAGGGATCATGACGCACGGGTTGAGAACCGCTGATTTAGTTCCATTTCTGGCAATTCCTCCTTTTCTTTCCTTTGGGGGTTGTTGCTTTGTCTTCCTATTTTAGCTCTCACTAAAGGGTCCAGGCACTGAGTCATGCAGGGCCTGTGGCTGAAGCAGTGGGCTTGGCTGGAGGGTCTGTGCTTAAGTATTTTGGTGCTGAAACTGTCCCACATTTAGCCAGTAGGGTCCCTTTCAATCTGACTACTGTGACATACTCTCATACCTTTTTTTTTTAGCAGTTTCTTTCCAGCATAACAGGATGTTCCAGATTCATCTTGTTTCTATTTTATCTCAGCTCTTGAATGGTACTAGAGATCAAGATCTGAGTGCTAGGTGTGTTACTGGGGTGTCTAATTTTCTGACTTTTCAATATACAGAACTAGGAAATATCTGCATGTATACACACATCCATGCATATATGTACCTAAACATACATATACATATATCTATACCAGTGATGGCAAACCTATGACACACGTCATAGGTGACACGTGAATTCATTTTTTTGGTTGATTTTTCTTTGTTAAATGGCATTTAAATATATAAAATAAATATCAAAAATATGTCTTTGTTTTACTATGGTTGCAAAGATCAAAAAACTTCTATATGTGACATGGCACCAGAGTTAAGTTAGGGTTTTTCAAAATGCTGACACGCCAAGCTCAAAAGGTTCGCCATCACTGATCTATACACACATATTCTATACTAGAGGCCCGATGCACAAAATTCATGCAAGGGGCTCGGCCCCTGCCCACTGCAGCAGGCGCCTCTGCCTCGGTCCCTGCCACTGAAGCTTCGTCCAGAAGGTCGTCCAGAAGGACGTCCAGTCTAATAAGCATATTACTCTTCTGATATTATAGATATTCAGATGTATATATAGATATGCATATTTAAAAATCATGTTCACACAGCCCTCATTCTAATAAACAGGATTCCTTCTTTTATTCCCCAATCCATGGTTTTATGTTTCTCCTTCTACAATAAGAATCCTGGTTCCCAAAACATCAACACATTTACTCAATACTGTAATATTTCTAAAGGAGTTTCAAAATTACTGCTTATATACCATCATAATAAACAAACCTACTAAAAAGAGTTCCATATTTATTGGCAATATTCCCTGCTACTCCACAAATCCACCCTGATTGATGGTGTACATATTGAGGGTATATAGTCCTATGTTGTGTTTACTTAAGCTAGTTTTTTCTTTTCTTATATTCTTTTTTTCTTTAGTATGGTAATGGTATTTATTTTGACTATAATTAGGTTAAATGTATTTCATTTTAAAGGTATAACTTATAAATTTAATTTTACTGACATTATTTGCAGACTCGGGATCTCTCCTAATGTTTAATACAATTAGTCATGATTAGAATATGGGGTGGAACTCCTCAGAGTTCCATATTTAATATCCCTTCAATGAAATGGAATAAATGTATCATAGGTAGTGTTGTGTTAGAGCTCAACCCTGAAAACCTAGTTGACCTTAGTATTCCCAGGCAGCAAAGCCAGTTATATTGCCTCCCCGCACCTCTGAACACCTTCTCGGGTGAAAGTGGAATGTGATATTAGCAAAACATCTTTTGGAGGATTTTCCAGCCAGTATGCCTAACATGGAGATAAGAACTACTTTTTATATTTCTATGAATCATTTAAATGAGGCATATGGCCTGCTGGCTGTGAGTTTGACATGCTTGATTTAGGACTGCTATTTAGCTAATAATTACCAGTTGTACTGTTCTGCTAGCTTTCACTGTGATTAGGCCACACCAGTACTGTACTCGTTGTGAGATATTTTGATTATTCCTTGAACACTCAAACAAAGTGTCTAGGGTGGGGCTGTGGGTCAGGACTTTACTATAAGAGCCACCTATTGGGTAATTTATTGTTCTCTCAATTTTTTTGCTGCCTTTTCTCCCCTATTTTTTGTAGGCTTCTCAGAGTCCACCTGCCCAACCCAAGAAGGAAGCCAATAAGGAGGTTGTTAAAGACATTTCCAAGAAGATAAACAAGAACACACCTGCTTTTGAGTTGGCCAGAAACAATGCGATAAATATAAAAAAGTAAGAGGTGACACAGATGGCATTGTTTTAGATGGTAAAGGAGAGTGTGTGACATCCTTTTGACTTCCTTTTGTCCTCATTGAAAACATGTTTAGTAAGACATGTTGGTGATTACTACATTAACTTTGGTTGCTGAGGTGGACTCAGCTGTGGTTGCTAAAATGTTACAGGCCTCTTTTCTCCCTCTCCTTTTCCATGGGGTATTTGCATATTGAAAAAGCTGTTGTCATTGGGGAATTTGCCAAAAGATCTTGTGCTCACCTTTTCTATCTTTTAGTAATTCAGTCCCTGTTTGAACTATCTGTACTTGAGAGTTTGGGGCAACTTAAATTTTTAGAGGATTCTTAGCAGCTGTTTGATAGCTTGCTAGTGCACTTATTCATTAGAAGCTTTAGGGGATGTTTGTCCCTTGTTATTGGAGAGAGATTACTGTCTCCCTAGGCTCAAAACATGTGTTTTCCAGCTGTTACAGGGAACTGTTCATAGGTTCTGCAAATATGGTAGGTATAAGTATTCCCATCTAGGATTAGAGAAAGGATTTACCCTGAGGAAAAAATTTATTGGAAGAGGAGTTAGAGAGTGGAGTGAGACATTTCTATATCTTCTCCTCATTCCAGTGGGAATTACTTTATCAGGGAAGAATAGAATAGGTTAGATAGATATCTATAATGGGGCTAAGCATGGGTTCCAAATGGTAAGGGGAAAAACTTGGGGAAATTAAGAAAATTAACATGCCAGGTCCACAGGGCACTTTGTCAATTACCCAACTCAAAGCAATCAAACCAGAAGATTAGCAGTTAGCCCTACTTGGTTTATTTTTTTTAATGTATTTTTATTGATTTCAGAGAGGAAGGGAGAGAGATAGATAAAAACATCAATGATGACAGAGAATCATTGATTGGCTGCCTCCTGCACACCCCCTACTGGGGATCTAGCCCAAAACTCAGGTTTGTGACCTGACTAGGAATTGATCCATGACCTCCTGATTCATAGATCTATGCTCAGCCCCAAAAGAAACCCTGTGCCTTTAGCTATCATATCTCAATTCTGCCATCCTTCTGAGCTCTAAGCAACTACTAATCTATTTTCCATCTCTATAGATTTGCCTATTCAGACATCCTATCTAATAAAAGACAAAAATGGTAATTGGCGTACGACCAATACCCTTTTCATTGGCTAATCAGGGCTATATGCAAATTAACTGCCAACTAAGATTGGCAGTTAACTGCCAACAAGATGGTGGTTAAGTTGCATATGTAGGCACAATGCAGGGAGGTGAAAGGGAAAGCAGGAAGAAGCCCCCTGCCACTGACAGTGATTAGAAACCCAGGGAGGAGCTGGGGCCGCCTTTGCCCTGCCCCCCGGCCATGATCAGAGAATCAGGTGTCTTT